CAAGTCCCCTCCTCATTTACTCTGGGTCTGTGACCCAGAACTTGATAGTGAACAAGCATGGCAGCTATTTCTGTCCCCTGCAAAAAATTTAGGCCCCTTTGTGATGTGCTTGGTTCTTATTGCTGTGGTTCACACTTGCTGTACAGACCCCACCCCTAATATCTACAGACCTCTGGACAAATGACTCACTATGATTTTTTTTTTCTCTTGGATTTCTTGATCAGGACTCAGTTTGGTGCATTTCTTAGATCTTTTTGGTGGAGTTGTGGGTATCTTTTCCTACTACTTTTCCATCAAGGCTCCAAGTTTCCTGTCTTTTTTTTTTTTTTTTTTTTGGAACTCACAAGACCAGACCTTCCAGATTAACCTCTTTCACCAAAAATGAAAGAGTAAATGTCAAACCAGGCCAAGAACTGAAGATTGTATTTAAAAGGCCACATGTCAGCCTGAGAAGGAGAAGGTCTTCCCTTCTCCTCTTGAGAATTATTTTTCTCTCGATGTCATCAATGAGGGAATTAAACCAAGCGTAGGGATCAACCAAGAGAGAGCTCCTAGGCTCACTAAGGCCTTTTGAACATACCCCAGTTCTGGTTTTACAACTGCTGTCAATAAAAAAGATTACCATTTACCACTTGGTTAGCAGACCACAACCAGTTACAGAATGTCTATGAATGCTCCAAAGTCTCTCCAAAGCATTTCCATTATTCCAAGGCACCTATCCTCATGTCTGTCCTGGAAGCAGGTTCCCTAGCTTCTTCCACATGCAGAATTGCTTCGTATATGTTCTGTCCAGTATAGAGAGAAGAAATAAAAGTAAATATAAAGTAGTTAAATTAAGGTAGTTTGAGAGGAAGGACATTAGTGGTAGAGGGGATAAGGAAAGGCTTGCTGTACAAAGTGATGTTTGAATTGCTTCTTGAAGGAAAAGAGGCATTTTATTCCAGGGAGAGATCCAGTGCAGGAAATGAAATGTCTTCAGTGAGGAAGAGAGAAAGCCAGTGTGGCTGAGCAGGAGGGAGAATAATGGCATTGAGAATGGAAACAAAGTTTAGGGCTAGATTGAGTAGGGTTTTAATACCTAAACAGAAGAGTTTATATTTTATTGTTAGGCTCAGTAGTAAGCCACTGTAGTTTATCACAGTCAGATTTGATCTTAAGGAAAATAACTTTTTCAACTCTGTGGAGAATTGTCTGAAATGGGGAGATACTCGAGTCAGGGGAATCAATTTTGAGTCAATTACAATAATCTCAGTGAGAGGTAATGACATCCTGAACAAATGTATTATCTGTGTGAATAGAAAGAAGAGGTCAGATGAGAGAAATGTGTCAGTAGAAATTGTAAGATTTGGCATCTGATTAGTTATAAATGGTGAAGGAGTGTGAAGAATTGAAGATAATACCAAGGTTATGAACCTGACCAACTGGGTTTAGAAGAGGAGTATCTTTGGGGTAGAAGGTTATGAGTTGTCTCTTTGACTCATTGAGTTAGAGTTTTCTCCTGAATATACATTTTGAAGTGTCCAATGGGAAATTGATTCAGGGCTGAAACTCAGGGGAGAGATTATGACTGCATAGATATATATATATATATATATATATATATATATCAGGAGTTATTGGCATAGAGATGATAATTAAATCCATGGTAACAGATGAAGTTACCAAATGATAAAGTATATATACAGAAGAGTAATGGTTCTGGGACAGAGCTCTGGAGAACAGTCACTTACATCATCTGATCTGGATGATGAACCATTCAAAGCTACAATGGAATGCTTTAATGAGAGGAGAAGCAGGAGAGATTAGTGTCCAAAACACTTGGAGAAGAGAGAGTATCCAGGAGGTGAGGGTGGTCAGAAGTGTCAAATGCAGTAGATTGATCGAGAAGGGTGAGGTTAGATTAAAGGCCAGTATATATAAACACACATGTTACATATATTTACTTAAACATTCATTGAGTAAATGAATAAAAAAAAGCATTTGAGTACTTATTATGTGCTAAACATGATGCTGAATGCTAAGGATTCAAAAAAAGAATATATTCCCTGCCATCAAGGATCTTAAATTCTAATGGAGAAGACAACACATATAGTAGAGGAATGATGTCCAGCAAGTGGCATTTTGTTTTGGAAAGTTTAATTAGAACCATAAGGGTTTGACACATTCTTTCTAGGAAGGGATGAGATCAAGTGTATATGAAGTATGTATATATATATATATATATGTATATATGTGTGTATGTATATATATATATATAGTGTGTATCAAGTGTATATGACCTTGAAGAGGGGAAGGGTCATCTTAGTCAGAGACAGGTATAAAGGGAGAATAGTGGGTGTTTATTTCACTTAGATTGTGAAATTAGGAGGGGAAAAGAGATAATGTGCCTTTTTTTTGGTAAAATATAAGATGAGTTCCTCTGCTAAGAGGTATGGGGGAAGGGGATATGGTAGGAGGGTTGAGGAAAGAAAGGAAGGTTTGAAACATTTGTTGTGCTGAGTGGGATGGAGAATCGATTAGGGAGGAGTAAAATGATTATAAATATGTAGTGGACTCAAAACAGTTGTGTCACTTCTGGTCCTACTCCATTCCTGAACACATGACTAAGAAGAAAGAATGTGAATAGTGGAAGGTAATACGGGTTTGGGGTCTTACAAGGTATGGATATTGATAACACAAGGGAGCAGGGATTCAAGCAAAGAGGCTGTTTTAGAATTGAACTAGTTTAGAAAGTGGTTGATGTAGGGAGAGAGAAAAGTATAGCCAGAGTAGGAGTTGTGACCTGGGGACAATACTGAGAGATGGAGTGATTGGAGGTCATGCTGAAGATGAGGAAGAGGTTTAAGAGGGACAAAACACAGGGAGAGATGAAATGATGGAGCTTACGACTGGATAGAGTTCTTGAACATGTAAGTAGAACACTTATCAAGAGTATTACCATGCTTGTGTAGCTGAGTTGAAGTGGAGGAATTAGGTCCTGGATTGAGGAATTGAAAGGTGAAGATATTTGAAGGAACGCCAACATGAATATTGATGTTCCCTAGAATGAGGACAGTAATTTCAGTAGATGATAATTGTAGAATCTCCTATTTGGAAGGGACTAAAGAGGCCATCTCATTCAACCTGTAAAAAGCATCACTTCATTAGCATCCCCAAAAAGTTACTGCTTCAAGATTGACTTGAAGGCTTCTAGGAAGCCTTCTCCCTAGGCATTCTACCTTTGGATAACTCATGTTGTTATCATAACTTACATTTTTGTAATGTTTTCAGTTTTGCAAAGTGCTTTACACATATCTCATTTGATTCTCACAATTGGGAGTCAATTACTGAACAGTGAGGGAGGAGAAAGATTGTCCTGTGAGTGGGAGCTGGATTGGGTGATAAGATTAGTTCTAGTGAACCTCAGAGGAGGAGAGGTTGCTTAGGTGATGGTGGTAGAGGGGTTTTTGAATTCATAATGGAGAGCAAGGAAGCTGGGTGGCACAATGGATAAAGGGATGGGCTTAGAGCTGGGGATCCTGACCCAGACACTTAATAGCTGTGGGACTCTGGTTAGTCATTTAACTTCCCTCCACTTCATGTACTTAACCTGTGAAAGGAAGGATTTGGACATAATGGCCTTTAAGGTCCTTTGCAGCTATAAATTGATGATCTTCTGATTATTCAGACTCATCGTCTGGGACTAATGAGTTGGTATGTGAGAAAATGTGGAAAAAAGTTCTGGAAAGGACAGAATTGAATAGGAGGAAGAAATTGGACTGGCTTGCATTTGAGAACTTGTGGTTTCAGTGATCCCAGACTGGCATCAAAAGGTGTATTATTTTACACTAGTAGTTTTCTGGTGATGCTTTCATACTGTGTATCATGGAAGGCTACATTCTACATAGAATAAAAATTTGGAATTTTACCAGATTAGAGAGTATAAATTTGTGAGCAGTAATAACTTATTTAGTTCATGTAAGTAAAGTTGGAATCTTCTTGATCATTGCAGTGAATTCTTTTATGAGGCCATTTTTATTTGTAGCTATTGAAATAAGGAATATTTCTTTTATTTGTGTATATGTTTTCAGAATAAGGATTCATTATAGTTTGAAAATTGATTATTTAAAACATTTTAATTCTTTAATCTATGTTGAAATGATTTTTAACATTTGTTACCAAGAAAGTAACTAAGTAGAGGTAACTTATTTGACATTTGTGAAACTTAGGAGGGAATGAATTATTGTTCATTTCTATAGATCCCTTTTTACCAGGCTTATTTATCTTAAGTCTAAGAGGATTTAAAGGGCAGCTAGGCTATAGTTGCTGAAATGCTGGAGGGAAGAAGTTGCTATACCACTAATGAATCAATTAATCAGCCAATAAGTATTTATTAAGCTCTAGGCACTCTGCTAGGTACTAAGAATACAGTGATAAAAATAAAGCCATCCCTGCCCTCAAAAGAGCTTATGTTTTACTGGGGAGACTGTCTGTTTGTGTATGTGTGTGTGTGTATGACCATAGACCAGAGAGTTTTAGGACTGAAAAGCCATTGATGACATCATCTTCATTTTATAGATGAGGGAACTCATGCAGAAAGAAGTTAAGTGACTTAACGAAAGCTCATAGCACTAGTAAGTGTTTAAGGAGAAATTTGAGGCAGTCTTCCTGATTCCAAGTACAGTTCCCTATTCACCACCACACCATTCCTATCAAGACAAAATATGAAGCAGACAAGGTAATGTTGGACAGGAAAGGCTAAGTATTAGTACCTGGGGAGATCCATTTCCCTTTCAAATTAAAAAAATAAAACTGAAGAGCTCATCTCTAGTTTTGTCTCCCCCCTCCCCATATTCTTGGTGTGAGGTTTTAAAGGAAGTAGTGACTTGGTGAATTAAAGTAATAGTTACCTATGCCTTTACTAACTTTGGAAAACAATAATTTTTACTTATTGGGCATCTTGAATTCAAATATTGACACTTATAAATTTAAAGTTTAAAAATGTGTTGTTTTTTTTTCAGGCAGCTACTATGAAGGTGAAGAAATTAGAGGAAAATATTGAAGCGGAAAGAGCAGCACACCTGGAATCCAAATTTAATTCTGAAATTATCCAGGTAAAATTGTCCAACAAATTTCTGTGTAATTCCTTAAATTACATATTTAGGAAATAAAATTATGAACCCAAGACCTGAATTTTGAGAGAATCATTCTGACATAATGGATAGATTACTGATTTTATACTAAGAGGACTCCAAGTCAGCTCCCACCTCTGATACTACTTTGTTGACCTTGGGCAAGTAATTTAACCTCTTTGGGCCTCTTTCTTCATCTGTAAAATTAGAATTCTGGACTAGATGAGTCCCCTTTAGCTCCAAATCTGTTATTGTTTTCTTTAGTTCATTTATTGAAATTGTTCATTTATTAAAAATTGATACATTTTGTTTGGATGTAACGCACATATATCTCTGTGCCTTATGACAGGTTATTTTCTCATGCTTGTAATGTATTCATTCCTTACCTCTCCCTTTGAGAGTCTTGTTTCCTTTAACACTTAGCTCAAACTCTACCTCCTACTTAAAGTCTTAACTGTTCTCTCCCAATTTTGATCTCTCTCTCTCATCTCCAAATTACCAAGTGTTTATTTTGTATATGTTTTGTATGTGCTTATTCCATGTACATATTGTTTCCCCTTATAGAATATAAACTTCAGGGCAGGAATTTTTTCTTTTTTGTCTTTGTATTCTCATTGCTTAGCACCGAGCCTGTTATATAGTAGACACTTAGTAAATGCTTATGGATTGGATCTGTTGATTGATTCCCAATAAATACTTGAATAATCTTATTCTGCAATGTTCAGTTCTGGAAAAAAAATTCATTTTTTAAAACCAAAAAATTAATAGCATGATACTCAAACTGAATATTGTGTTTGATGACAGTTTTATTGGCTATCCATGTTTCTAGTACTTTACTTTTAGTCTTTTTATATATTTTATATTTTTCTTTTGTTCCTGGTTTTTTTGCCTTTCCCCACCCTGTCACTTCATAGGAGGCTTTACAGGTTTCTTTGTATTCTTAATATTTTTCATTCCTTATCTCCAGTTATATACCATTACACTTGTCGTTATTTATTCAATTGTTGGGCTACCATTTGCTTTCTGGATTTTCATTATCACAAATAATTTGAATATGTACATTTTTGTGCCTGTGGACCTTTTCTAGTAGCATAGTCCTGGTAGTTTCTGTCAAAGGCCAACTTTTCTGATTTTGAACGTTTTTCCGGACTGTTTGAAAAAATTCATAATAGTGCCAGCAGTGGATTAGCATGCCTATTCTATATAGCCCTTAAAACAATGAATTTTCCCACCCTTTCTAGCTTGTTAGCTATAAAAAATAACACCTTGGAGTTGTTTTCTTTGTTTCTTTTTAAAGAATTTGGCAAGTAACAACAAATATTTCCATATATAAAACATTAAAAAGTGAACTTTCACTATAACATACTTATTTTACTTTTATATTCCTATTGGACTTTTGAGCAGTTAGGGATAAATTGAGATGTCACCAGGAAACATGACATAGTGGATCAGGCAGAGTGGAAAAATAACCCTCTCTTGCAACAAATAAGCATAGTTATACAAAATGAATTTACACTTTGGCTTTGTCTAAGAATACATGTCTCATTCTGCCAGTCTTCTTTTTAAAAAATTTTTTTTTATTTATTTATTTTTAGTTTTCAACATTTACTTCTATAAGATTTTGAGTTTTAAATTTTCTCCCCTTCCCTCTATCCCCCCTCCCTAAGATGGCATGCAGTCTGATATAGGCTATACATGTACAATCATATTAAACATATTTCCACATTAGTCATGTTGTAAAGAAGAATTAGAACCAAAAGGAAAAACCATGAGAAAGAAGAAACCAAAAAAAAAAAAAGAGAGAGAAAATAGTGTGCTTTGATCTGCATTCAGACTTCATAGTTCTTTCTCTGGGTGTGGATAACATTTTTCATCATGAGTCTTCTGGAACTGTCTTAGATCCTTGTATTGCTGAGAAGGGTTAAGTCTATCAAAGTTGGTCATCACACAATGTTGCTGTTACTGTGTACAATGTTCTCCTGGTTCTGCTCACTTCACTTTGCATCAGTTCATGTAAGTCTTTTCAGGTTTTTCTGAAGTCTGCCTGCTCATCATTTATTATGGAACAGTAGTGTTTCATTACATTCATATACCACAACTTGCTTGGCCATTCCCAAATTGATGGGCATCCCCTCATTTTCTAATTCTTTGCCACCAGAAAAAGAGCTGCTATAAATATTTTTGTCCATGTAGGTCCTTTTCCTATTTTTATGATCTCTTTGGGATTCAGACCTAGAAGTGGTATTGCTGGGTGAAAGGGTGTGCACATTTTTATAATCCTTTGGGCATAGTTCCAAATTGCTCTCCAAAATGGTTGGATCAGTTCACAACTCCACCAACAATACATAGTGTTATAATTTTCCCACGTCTCCAACATTTATCATTTTCCTATTTTGTTATGTTAGCTAATCTGATAGATGTGATGTCAGAGTTGTTTTAATTTTCATTTCTCTAATCAATAGTGATTTAGAGCATTTTCTTCATATGACTATAGATAACTTTAATTTCTTCATCTGAAAACTGCTTGTTCATATACTTTGACCATTTATCAATTGGGGAATGACTTGTATTCCAATAGAATTGACTCAGTTCTCTATATATTTTAGGAATGATCTGCAAGTCTTTTATAGTGATAATTGGTCATTGCATTGTTCAGAGTCCATCAGAATTCTTAAATCTCAGGATTGTTTTCATTTGTATTTCTTTGATTATTAATGATTTTGAACATTTTTTAATTTGGTCATATACAATTTCTATTTTTTTCTTTTTGAAAATCATATCCTTTGATCACTCTCTTTAGAAATGTTCTTTAATCTCTTATATTTGTATCAATTTCCTATAATTGTTCAGTCAAGTTTTAATCTGATATATTTAATGTAAGTAGTTTTCCTAATCCATAATTTTCATTCTAGATGAACTGATTTTATTTCTGTAAGAATTTTTAATTATATTAAAATTTAAATTAATTTTTAATTTTTCCAGTAGTTCTTGTCAAATAGTCACTTACCCAGTAGTTTTCTTTTTGGGGTTATTGAACACTATACTGTTATTCACATTTCTTTTCAGGTAATACTTACCTAATCAGTTTCGTTGATCTATTAACAAAAAGTGTTTATCCAGTACCATGTAGTTGTTATAATTCCTGCTTTGTAATGTAGTTTGAAATCTAGCAGCACTAAACTCCTCCCTTTCCTTTTTAAACATATTAAAACGTGGTTTTAAGGAAAAACAACAATAATTAGATATAAGACAAAAGGGAAAATGTAATAGTCCTTACTTTCACAATAAACATTCCATAATATCATTTTGCAACCTTCTGTTTAAATACTTCTAGCCCTGAGCTGCAGTAGGACCTCTGATAAAGTCTAGAGCGGTGGTATCAAATCATATAGAAATGGGACAGTAATTTATTTATAAAGTAACCTATGGAAAGCATACTGACAGTTTTAAAAGGAGGTAATAATAACAATAATAATAGCTAACTTTATATAACACTTATTATGTGCCAGGAGCTGTGCTAAGCATTTACAATTATTTTCTCAAGTGATCCCTACAACACTTTTGGGAGATAGGTCCATTTTACAGATGAGAAAACTGAGGATAGAGCACTGGTCCTGAAGTCAAGAGGACCTGAGTTCAAAATCCAGCCTCAGACCAAACACTTGACACTTACTAGCTGTGTGACCCTGGGCAAGTCACTTAACCCCAATTGCCTCACTAAAAAAAAAATAATAATAAAATAAAATAAAATACAAAAAAAAAGGGCAAAATAGAAATTGAAAGAATCCACTGATCTCCTCCTGAAAGAGATCCCCAAAGGAAAACTCCTAAGAATATTGTAGCCAAATTTCAGAGTTCCCAGGTCAAGGAGAAAATATTACAAGCAGCCAGAAAGAAACAATTCAAGTACTGTGGAAACACAATCAGGATAACACAAAATTTAGCTGCTTCTACATTAAGGGACCGCAGGGCATGGAATATAATATTCCAGAGAGCAAAGGAGATAGGATTACAACCAAGAATCACCTACCCAGCAAAACTGAGTATAATCCTGCAGGGGAAAAAATGGTCATTCAGTGAAATAGAGGATTTTCAAGCATTCTTGATGAAAAGACCAGAGTTGAATAGAAAATTTGATTTTCAAATACAAGACTCGAGTGGAACATGAAGAGGTAAACAGGAAAGAGAAAATCATAAGAGACTTATTATGGTTGAACTGTTTACATTCCTGCATGGAAAGATGATATTTGTAACTCATTAGACCTCTGTCAGTATTAGGGTAGTTGGAGGGAAAGAATTATAAGAATTATAAGTATGTATATATAGATAGATAGATAGATAGAGGGCACAGGGGGAGTTGAAGATGAAGGGGTCATATCTCGAGAATAAAATTAAGGGGTGAGAGAGGAATATACTAGGAGAAGGAGAAAGGGAGAGGTAGAATGGGGTAAATTACCCCACAAAAAAAAAAACAGAAAAGAAAAGGCTCTTACAGTGGAGGGGAAAAGGGGGAAGGTGAGAGGGAATGAGTGAATCTTATTCTCATAGGATTTGACTTAAGGAGGGAATAACATACACACTCAATTGGGTTTGGAAATCTGTCTTACCCTGTAGGAAAATAGGGGGGGAAGGCAGAGCGTAGGGGAATGATAGAGAGGAGGGCAGATTGGGAAAGGGAGTAATCAGAAGGAAATACTTCTGAGGAGGGATAGGGTCAAAAGAAAGAATAGAATAAATGGGGGTGCAGGATAGGATTAAGGGAAATAGAGTTAGTTTTTCATAGCATGCCTACTATGGAAGTGTTTTGCGTAACTGTACATATATAACCTATATTTAGTTGCTTGCCTTATCAATGAGGGTGGGTGGGGCGGGAGGAAGGGAGAAAATTTGGAACCCAAAGTTTTAAAAACACATGTTTAAAAAAATGTTTTCACATGGAACTGGGAAATAAGAAATACAGGAAATGGGGTACAGAAATCCAT